ATAACGAAAAATCTCATATCTGAACAATCAGTTGTATGGGAGCTATATGTTATAGTAGTCCGATTCTTCCGGTTCCGACAAATGATTAATACATTATAAAAATACACCCACCTACCAAATTTGATCCGGATATCTCGAAAACTGAGAGACTAGATTGCATACAAACAGACAGACAGACGGACAGACGGACATGGCTAAATCAACTCAGCTCCACGTTCTGATCATATAAGTATACATTTTCATGGGTCTATCTCTTTTTGTTCTGGTACTTTCAAACATCGGACCAAAGTTATAATACCATTTCATGCTCATGAAAGGTATAATTACGGGACATTTTCATTTGACATTGTTTACTTTTCCATCGGTTTTCATCGTTATTAGATTGATTTTTTCGCAAATAAATATTGTGGATATTTTTTTTTTTAATTTTTGCCCTGTTAAAATTTAAATAAAAAATATTAAAATATTTTGGAAAAATTACTTGATCTAGAAATGGAACTTAAGTCCACGTGTTTTGGCGTTTTTTGTGTCATTTCCAAACTGGAGATCTTCACTCCAATGTTATTTGTATGAAATGCTAAACATGGCACAACATACATACAGACAAAATATGAAATACTTTCAAATTTTAACCAAGAAAACTAAATTTGGTAAGTTTGTTATGCTAACAGTCCGCACTTTCTGTAGGTAGCGTAACGCTTCATGTTTTTCCAACAAATTCGCACCACTAACACACTTCAAAACACTTCGTCAATGTGTTTTAGGTTTTCTGCTGTTTTCACACGCACACACACTTACATATTTACGTACATGAATTCGTTCTCAATATACATACAACAACAAGCAATCAATATTTTGAAAAGAGGAAGCGAAATACGGACGGTGTTGATGCTGCAGATGCTGTCTGAAGCTAAAACTGCTGTTTTCAATAGCATATACAGCTACATAAAAACGCACACAGTCAAACCTACTTCCGGTTTTTTATTTCCTGCACTTCGATGGGTGCAAATTGAATATTTGCTTGACATTTCATTTTCATGTTGCTCACAAGCCTACAATAGTTTTTTTAAAGGAGGAAAGTTGGAAAGTCGACTTACTGATGCAGAAACTTAATACTCGTCACTGCGTAGTATAAGTTTAAGCTTTTCTTTTCTAATTTTTACTAACATTTGCAAACAAGAAAAATAGTTATTCTCTATAAAAAATTCTGTTCGCTAAAGTGCCTTCTGAGAATTTTTAAAAATAGCTACAACACTATGCAAAATATGAACTCCCCCTTTTTACCCGATTTGGGGTTACACCTCTGCACATAACCAAAATGCAAATTTATAAGAATCCTGTCAATGATTACTTTTGTTGTTTCTATTTTTCATTTTTATGTTTGCTTGCGCAAATACAATAAGAAATTGCGACTGTGAAAATTGGCATGTAAAATGTAGTTAAGTGATTGCTGCACACATTCACACTTACATACATATGTATGTATGTACCCTGCAGTGAAAAGCCAAACCAGTTAGAGAAAATACAAGTTCATTAACTAGTATGCGCCTACCAGTTCGGCAATTGCCTTTGAATTGCCAAAGCATAAACGTAAACGCAATTAATTGTTTTTCTTACAAATCTCGAATGTGGCGTCACGTGAAGACTACTGTTTCTGGTTCTGAGATTGCAGGTTTGAGGCCGCTTGGCGGTGGTTAAAACTTTTAAAGTTAAATCAGTGTCAGTAAAAATAACTAGTTCAATTTAAATATAAATAAAGAATTCGAAAACCTAATTGCAAAAAATACTTGTGCCACAAAAAAAAGAAAAAAAAAAAGAAAAAAAGGTTTTACTTAAATATTACATACACTTTTTTCCCAATGTTTGCTAAGACTTTTCTATTTTTTGAAAAAATTTTTTCACGAAATCACGCAAAAGGAAGCTGAAAATCGAAAATAAAATATAATTGAAAAGTCGCGAGAGAAGATGCAATTATATATTAGAAAACTACATAAAATTCTCTAAAAAATGTGTCTAAGTTCAAGACCTAACGAACCGGTACTCACACTTTTTTTACTAATAATCTTTAGCATCTAGCATCTATGTACACTTCAAAGAAAATTTTTTGATAAGGAAAATAGGAAAATAACAAATAAATGATAATTACCTTCACTCGAATATTCCACGACACTTAAAGAACTAATTATAGTTTAAAAATAAACACTTGCTTTAATGGGTTCAGCACCGAAGGCAACTAAAGTGATTAGTCAGTATAGCGCCGATTCCAATATCTTTTTGGATATGTACCGCTCGAGGAGAAGAGTAGTGAGTAAATCATCTGAAATTTTGGATTTATGACTTTAACTTTTCCCTCTCTAAGCCCAACTGTTTTTTTTTTATCAACTGTCACCTTTTCTGACTTTTTTCCACCTGCCTCCATATACATAGTTGAAACACCGTGCAACGCAGGCTTATGATTTTCATGGGTGATGAATTGGCAGGCTATCTCATCAAGTGGTACTTCTCGTGTTGTTAAAAATACCAGTCGTTAACATTGAAAAAGGATAGAACGTGAACTAGTTGGGCTGAAATGCAAATTGTTAGAATTCTAGTTCACAACTAGGAGCTTTCCCTGCAGGGTACCAACGTATAGCAGCTATTTACTCAGCAATAAAAATGCATTACCAGCGGAAAAGTCTTGATTGTTGCTACTTTGTTGTTGTTTCTGTTACTTTCATTATTGGCCTTGACGCTTCTTTTCCGACAAAGTGTTGGTAATGCTGACAGTTGCCCTGACATGGAGTTGATTTAAATTTATGCTGTTGCAGCGCTTAAACATAAAGGATTTGAAAATTAAATGAGATAAGTGCATAAATATGTATTGTACTCATGACTGCAAATATCGATGATTCAATTAAATGGTAAAAACGTAAGTGCGCCTGGGCCACACTGTAGAAGTGAAACTTGCGTTACTTTTCTATTTTGTCTCATACCCATGTATATATGTATACACATCTGCTTTTGCTAAAGGTTATATTTGTTCTCTTTTTTCTATATAGATCCCTACCTTTACCCCTGTCTATTTTAATAACATTTATGTTATTCTGTTTTTCAATATCCTTATTTTTTTCTTTATACTCTATCGATAACAAAATCGATGAAAATTCGATAAAAATTTTGATTACAACATCGACAATACCATTGGTTGCAAAATCGATTAGAAAATCGATAAAAATATCGATAAATATCGATAACAAAATCGATAAATATCGATAACAAAATTGATAAATATGGACAAGAAACTCGATGAAAATCGATTACAAAATCGATGAATATCGATAACAAAATCCGAAAAATCTCGACAACAAAATCGATATCAAAATCGATACAAAATGTCGCTAACAAAATAGTTAAAAATATCGATTACAAAATCGATAACAAATCGGTAAAAATATCGATAACAAAATCGATAAAAATATCGATTATTATATCGATTATTTTTAAAATCTATAAAAATAGCGATAACAAAACTGTTAAAAACATCGATTAATTTAACGCTAAGTCTCGAGAATCCCGAAAAAACTCTAAACTCCCAAAATAATTCCCAGATTGAGTCTCTGTGTCTCTCTCTAAATCCTTTCCTCTTTAATTGACTTTATTTTAATATTTATTCCCCTATCTTCATCTTTAGTGGTTTTAGCCCTATCCATTTCCGTTGCGCCATTTCCGTGCGGAATTTCCTTTGAATTTGCCAATTTACTCCCAACCAACCAACCGCCGCTAAAGAAGTTTCACCTCAAAAAATTATGCGACGAGACTGCCATGAAGCGAAAAATGATATTTAGTACAACAAACCCATAATTATACATAATGTGAATGAAGGCGGAAATGCAGTAGTGAATTTCATAAATATGTATACATGTATGTAATAACCGATGAGTAATCGCGTTTAAGTGCTGAAACGAACGTAAATTAAAGGGGCCTTTCAAAGTGAATTGGTCTGATGTGCAATAAGGTAACGGTTGTCACTTACTTCTCATTTTGTGCTTACCAAAGAAAATGTTTCAAAATGTGCCAAAATATGTTTATTTTATAGTTATAGAGTGTCCAAGACCACCAGTCCACCGCCTCTTAAATTGTGCGATAAGTTGTTTACTGAATAACGGAAAGATTTGGCGTAACTAATCGGGAATGCTCTACCTTTTGGTGGTATTACCAACTTCCGGTTTCCACCAGAAATGAGTTAAACTGACCGAAAGTGCATTATTTTAACCGGAACTCCATTCCAGAAAAAAGTTTCCAACAAAAGTTATGTATTTTTGGCGGCAGAATTCATAATTACTGAAATAAATATCAATTTTGAAAGCTAGATGATAAGTAGTGAAAACATTTCGTCCGCCCCTTATGTGCATTTTTTAATGTTATTGTTCTTTTTACTATACTTTCAGCTCAAAGTATAGTCAGAATCTGCGAGGAGAAACAATTCCAGTGCGCCAATGGTGTATGCATACCCATCCGTTTCGCATGCGATGGCGACTCAGACTGCAGCGATCACAGCGATGAACGCATTGCCAATTGCAAGTTTATAGGTGAGTGAACAGACTATCTATTTACATAATTCGAACAATAAATAAATTAATTGATAAAAAGTAAACGACAAATGTGCACCAAAGAGCGTGTGTGCGCCATGTACTTATGTAAGAGAATCTATGTTGGACTAAGTGCAAAAATGAACATAGACAAACATTCGTATATACGTTACAATTAGTTGACTCTACTTTGGCTGTGAATGTGTATAATTGCTTCAAGGAAATGTGCAACGGATGGGAACAAATTTAATACCTGTTGCACATTACACATATTTACACAGCAAAATGGAGCTCCTTTAAAAAGAAAAAAAAAACGGTGATTGTTCCAGTGAAACGTAAATGCATGCATGCATTTAGAAAATTGAAGGTAAAAATTATTTTATCTTACTTTCCTGTGAGTCCTTGTGAGAACTGCTGTGCAATTTAGACATTGTGCAAAATTTAATTTCACTATCGCTTCTTTTATTTAGCTGCATAATTACTCAAGAGTGTATGCACGAATCTATTCAAAGAAATTTTCTCTGAAACGTACAGATAACTACGCGGCAGCAGCATGCTCGTGTATGCTTTTGCGCCTTTTTGTGGCAAGGATTTCCTACAATTAGAACTTTTTTTTTTCAAATCTCGTATGTACAACATGAACACTTTTTTTCTCCCTTCCTCGTTATATTCTCTTAAAATATTCAATGTCATGCAAATGGCAATAGTAGCAGTTGTACGAGTGGTTGTACAATTCCGGTATTTAAACAAATACAATGACACTGAATGAATGTTGCCTGCATGCAAAATGTATGCGCAAACGTTTAGCCGCAGAAACCGCACAGCCATGCAAGTGAATTAAGCGCATAAAAGCGAATAAATGCCACATTGTAGGGAGTGTTCACCAAGAGTTGTGGATACTTGAAGAGCTACAAGTGCTACGAGTGCTGAACGTTTTTGTTTTTCATTTCAATATCTCCACGAAGAAATAATTCTGTTGATTCACAACACAAAGACCTGAAGCCGGAACACATGACTTCTTGTCGTTTTATGGAAGGTTATGTTAGGACAGGTGAGAAATCCGTTGAAAATTTCACTTAGATATTAACTGAATTGGCACTTAAGAATGTTTTTGAGTACTATTGTTTTGAACTTAGGCCTTAGCTTCTCTTATGGACTTTGTTGAGCAGCGTCAATGCTCTTCTCTTATCAACGTGATTGAGACAACGGATGGTTTGCCATGTTAACAATCACTATTGAACCAGTGAACTGTTCACTAAAGAATCGCAGGCAAAAGCTGCATGAGAGGTAAAATAAAGCATTATATAATAGAAGTTCTCTGTAAAAAAATGTTTGACTTAAAAAAGAGTGCAACAAGGTGAATTTAGAGAAAATCATAGCGACCTTAAAGCATTTATCATTTCCTGAATATATTCATTTATTTATTTATTTATTCAATTCATCAACTAAGTACAACTCAGATAGATTAGTACAGTTAAAAAAAGGAGAAAAAAACTACAAAATAGGTATAATGAGTATTAAGGTATGTACATGTACAAAATACAAGGGTATAAGAAATGCAGCACCAGAATTAGCTTAGACTTAAAGCCATTACGAGAATTTAAGAAAACTTCTAAATTTTTACAAATTTGGTTAGTCTACTTCAGACAACGCGTAAGTGGATCATTAAATATAAAGGTGGTCTTGTGATTTGATAATCGAACATGTCGCTGAACCTGAGATCCCGAACAGGACAATTGAAAATAATTAAATCGAGCAAGAAGTGGCCTTAATTAACGTGGCTGGTGACTATGTCCCTAATAAAATTATTGAGGACATTTTACATCTACATGCATTTCTTATGTAGGTAGTGTCAGCAATGCTGCAATCCCACGGGAGGTAGTAAGCTGCGTGTCTGGTAAAGCGTTCTTGGACCTTCTCTACCCTTGAAGGTGACCCCAAGTAGAAGGGATCCCAAATGATGCTACAATAGTCAAGGTCCGATCTTACAAATGAGAAGTAGAAGCTCTTAAGTGTTAAGAGATTTTGAAATTATTTGAATTCCGCATTACAAAGTCAAGCATCGACCTAGCCTTGGTGATTATAAAATCGAATGATTAGAAAAGAACATTTTCGAAGTAAATATGACTTACAGATCTTTCTTTTCATAAATTTTTATATGAAAGTGTAACTGTGTCTAATCTATAGTGGCTATTAACTGTTACTTTGCGTCTACTGAAGGACATAAATTAACATTTACAAACGTTAAGAGGCAAAGAGTTAGCATCACACCATTTTTTTAGTCTTAGCAAGTCATCTTGAAGACTAATTTAGTTGGACAGGCTTTCTATATGACCGTATAGCTTTAACGCCCGGAATAATATTCACACCCCTGAGGTGACTTTAATCACATTGGATTTAGTATTACTTATGCGATCGAATTGGGTCCTATCAACAAGATAGCATGCAAACCACTTAAGCATCTTTGCGTGCACTTCGATTGATTCCAGTTTTTTAGGTAGTAATATATGATTAATCTTATCAAAGGATTTCGAGAGGTAAGTGAATATGGCATCGCATTGATGAACGTTTTGTTTTAGAACAAAATTTGAAAATTACGCTAAGTGCTGATAAGGGATATGAGCTCAGAAATCTTAAAAATAATCTCATCATGAACAAGCTTTTCGAAAAGTTTAGGTATGCTTGGAATTTTGATTGGACAAAAATTTTGGACGTCAGACTTGCTCCCAGACTTACGAATAGGTGTGTTTTTCCAAATTGGTAAGAACTCACCTAGATTTAGGGATTTGTTAAATATTTTGGATACCTGTAAAGCTAACGCTGGAGCACAAGTCTTTAAAAACGTGAGGGAAGCCTTCTTCACCAGTACTAGGGTTGTTGGGCTAGGCTAAAAGGCGATCTAGAACTTCATCTTCTGAGAGCTGAAATCCTTTAAGGACAAGTGTGCTGTTCCGGTTTCAGACTGAGGAACTTACAACAAACGGTAAAAATTGGCAAACATGTTACAAATCTTCTAAACGTTCTGCACCATGTCGGGAATCCCTGTGGCTTTTTCTTGCAATTTACAAACATCCGGAACCGTTTGCTGTTAGACTTTTTTCACTCTCCATTTTTATAATGTAGTTCTGACATAAAAATTTATTGAAGGCATCAAACTCTGTTTGTAACCTCCTGTAGATTTCAACAAGCTCTTAGTTATTACTCGTCTGGCGATACAGTTTATATACCTTGGGGTTTTTTTTTGTTAAGGTTGACCAGCCTAGAGTTGTACCTGACCAGTTTGGAAATATTCTTCACCGAAATGTTCAATTGCTGCTCTTAGCTCGTCTCTAAAATTGTCGTAAGCGGTTGACAATTGGGCGAGGTCGAAGGCAAATTCCCAGTCCACCAAGTTCAATGACCGTGAAATCTCATCAAATTTGGCATCAGTGAAGTTATAGGTTTTGCGATTATAATTAACTTTGATATAATAATTAAAGCGAATATGTCGGCGCACACATATAAAGCAATGCAGTAAACATCAAGTCATGTAATCGCGACTTAAACTTAAGGTTGATTTTCGCTCTGCGGGATTTTAAATTAATCTATTGAAGAAGAGGTCAAACGTATCTTATTTCACAGCCCGTGATTCGATGCGAATAGAAGTACTTTCGCTTAGTATTTTTGGAAGGCTATTTACCAGAAAATTTAGTAGAGCACATGAAAAAAGGCACAGACACATGGAAACCAGGAAATAGTGAAGCCACGTGCATTTCGATCGAATAGAGAAGAGATTAGCCGTGCCGTAAATGACTCTGCATATCTATGTACGTCTAGGCAAGGTTAAGTTAGATAAGGTTGAAGTGGCTGTCAGTGACCTCACTACCACACCTAGGCCTTAGATTGTAGGCCCGCATGTGAAACCACGCCTATCGTTAGAAGCCTCCTACACTGAATAACTCAGTGAGAGATGATACCATTATATTTGCATGTATGTATTTATATAAGAAAAAATATTTATTGGTAAAAAAGAGATACGATCACTTCGCATGATTTCAAAGATCTGATTAACTTAACGTAACTAAGAGGCTGCCACTTAAAAATTCTCTTTAATGGATGTTGCTTATATTTGGACAGGCGAAACTTAACGTAACTTAATGTCACGTCGAAGTCTGTTTCAATTTGATTTTTTAAGTTCTAAGTTACGTTGAGTTAAGTTAAGTTTCCATAATTAGACCTTATGTCATGTAGTGTGCGCAAAAGGCTCCGCAAGCATTGTCCCAGGCGTCATCAGACTAGGATGAGCATACTTTGAACTGTCATTAAATTATAACTTAAGAAAGTTTTATTACTATTTAGGCGCCCGGTATTAGCAGTCACGCCTAAACATACTAAAAGCATCGCGTGAATTTCGCGAAATGCAGAAATTGACGTATGCCTAACTCGGCTATGTCGGTTAAGGGCCAGTTTAACCTAGTTTAACCTTGCTTAAACTAAGTTTAAACTCAATGTGCAGTTTTTTAGTTCTATTTAAACGTAGTTTAAATGAAATGAAAAACTGAAATTTGACTAGCTCAAGTCTCGAAGTGGTTCTCTTCAGCAATCTCAAGAATTAGGCCCAATTTGAGATGAGAAAGTTAAACGGCACTTACGTTTAATAATTATGAACACTGATCGTGAGAAGAAAGCAAGTTTTACCTTTTAAAGTAAAAAAAAAACAAAGAAAAAAGTTTTTGAAAAGCTGTAAACTTGAAATATAAGAAAAAAAATTGTTTTCAAAATATCATAATCGTACAAAGCCCATGTCGCAGCTGGAGAAAAAAATAACTAGCAGAAGATAGGTCAAATTTAAGAATGAATTAGTGAAAGCTTTTGTAGAACTTCGTAAAACACCGTAACAAATCGACTTCAAATTATTAATGACTTAAATTTTTAAAATCGAGGTAAAAAATTAGGCAAAAAATTGCTTTTACATCAAAGCTTTTCAAAAAAAACTTTACATGAATAATTTAGGATTCGAA